TATCTATCTATCTATCTATCTATCTATCTATCTATCTATCTATCTATTTATCTGGTAGCACATCAGCATCACCATTGATAAATAAAGTTTCACATGGAATCAATTTTCCACCTTTAAGCATTATTATTATTATACACCAAGGGAAATTCCTTGTAAGTCTAAAAACCTACTTAGCAATAAACCTTATTCTGATTCTGATTCTGATTAAAGTTTCATTTACACACATTAAATGAAAACAGGGCTCAGTCTTTCTGCAAAACCATTCTGAAACCACTAACTCAAAATCTCATTTCCAAGCCATGAACTACTCAAAGTAAAAAGTATTCACCGTACCTGAACCATGACTTAAAGCGAGCCCACATCTTGCAGCAGCTTCTGGAGGCTCCTGTTCGTGGCTGAACGTCTCCCGGAGTCTGACGGCTGACTGACGACCTGCCCTAACCCTAACCCTAACCCTAACCCTAACCCTCCCTCAGACCAGCCAGACCTGTTTCTGCGCAGAGCGACTCCCGGCGGGTGGAATGTGGCTCAGACACCTGCACTCTGCCCACAGAACGTCCTAACCACCAGGACCATTCTGCCAGAGGGTTCTGGGTCGGAGTCCCGGGGGAACCGGGACCAGAGGGTTCTGGGTTGGAGTCCCCGGGGGAACCGGGACCAGAGGGTTCTGGGTTGGAGTCCCGGGGGAACCGGGACCAGAGGGTTCTGGGTTGGATTCCTGGGGGAACCAGGACCAGAGGGTTCTGGGTTGGAGTCCCCGGGAACCAGGACCAGAGGGTTCTGGGTTATAGTCCCGGGGGAACCGGGACCAGAGGGTTCTGGGTTGGAGTCTCCGGGGGAACCAGGACCAGAGGGTTCTGGGTTGGAGTCCCGGGGGAACCAGGACCAGAGGGTCCTCTCCCCATTGGCTACTGGGATAGGCTCCGCCCCCACAACCCCATTAGGGGATAAGCTGAAAATGGATGGATGGACATCAAAAAGTACTAAGTTTGGTGAATGAAGGTATTAAGAAGCTAATAGGTTTTATCATAACACATCAGCAGCTCACATATTTTTACTAATCTGTCTGGCTGATCTAATCCTTGCAGAGTGGTGGAACAGTTTCTGTTTCACTTCTGTCAAACAGGTTCATCGACCCACAGAAGTGCTCAGAATTCCTTCTAACAACAACAAACCACAAACAGTTTCAAGTTTTAAGACAGTTTATCGAACTATCTGCTGTCAGGAGACTTCTGTTTCCTCATACCTTTGTGATTGATCTGATAGCTTCACGTCACAGAAGCTGTTTTCATCAGATTTTTATTTTATGTATTTACTTTGTGACCAAAAGGCTCCATTGTCCTTCAGACTTGATGTTTTTCAACTTTAACAATAATTAACGATAATGGATGGATGGGTTTTCCCACCCTGTCTAAACTTTTATTGTGGTGTTTTTTTAAAATGATGCCACAGTGCAATATAGTGTGTGGTTAAGGAGTCATATGCTTCTCAGTATGT